GGGGCGGAGTTAGGGCGGGGAAGGGGCGGAGTTGGGGCGGGGCTGGGGGTGGGAAATGGGTGGGGCCAGGGCCCTGTGGAGGGTCCTCTTTTTTTATTTGTTAAATATGGTAACCCTACTTTAAGGTGCCACCGGACTCCACATTGTTTTTGTGGATACAGACTAACACAGCTACCCCTCTGATACTCATTGCCATTAAGACTATATCCAGCTTGGGAGAGAAAAAGGCTCACCTCATAAATTTGTCCTGTGGCCCTTCATTTGTAATATTATATCTAGTGAAATTATGTATAGAATGGGAAGGGAATATTTACATCTTCATCTTTTATCTTCATTTCCAAGAAGAAGAACACCCTGGCTCTAGAGGACCTTTGTGTTATGCTCTTGGCCGAGTAAGGAGACGACTGGATATTGGTAATTATTTCCTGCTTGGACCTAATTGACTTTATATATTTTTTGGCTTTGAAACATGAAGCAGAACACATGTATTTCTATTTTAAAATTTAGTTGAAAGGCTGTAACCTACCATTGTTCCATGCACAGCACTCCCACTGCAGTCCTAAGTCTCTAGTGCTGTTTTCCCCCCCTTGTTCTACTGCTCTCTCTTATTCTTGGCTCTCTAGTGTTGCAGAGAAGGCTTAGGATTTTGCCAGTTTGTCATTAGCACCTCCTTGGAGTATTCAGCAGTAATAATTCCCAGATACTGTGCACTGCATTCTATTTTTAGACTGCATTTTCTGAGCACCGCAATGTGGATAGTGTTGGCTTTACAATTTGTGGAGCCTCAAACTACAGAATAGACAGACCCCACCCTACCGAAAGGAAAAGAAGGGAAATAATGACTTGCCTCATCAAGCCCTATTGTCAGAATTGGAAAGGTGGCAGGGAGAGAAGGAGTTTGAGCTGGCAGTGAGTTTCTAGTCACACAGATGGAGAGAAAAATAGGGTCAGCTTGTAAAGTGTTATGCTGCATGGGAATCTGTCAGCCAAATTTTCAGGCTGGCCTCTGAGTTTATTTACCTACTTTTTTGTGTGCAAATGAGTTTTCCTGCAGAAGTATATATGCAGCCATGGTGCATACGAAAACAGACAATGCCAATACAAATTGGGATGTGTAACTGCCTCCTCTGGGTACAAAAAGCAAGGCACGCATACATTTTAGGGGCTATGGTTATTTGTGCATGTAAGTAAGTAAAACCATTGCATGTAATTTGGAGGCTGGCTGAAATTTGGTCCCATATATCTGTATTTCTAATATAAATGTCAGGTCACATTGTGCCTTCTTTAGCACACAGTGGAAAAGTTGCAGGGAGCTGTCTACCTCTTGAGCTCCTGTGCAAGAGGCAGCCAGAATCTCTCTAAGACAAGCTACAGGGGAGTCATAAAATCACCAGCAGTGTTTGAAATCATGCATCTCTCCTGCTCTGCAGCCTGGGACCAACCATGCTCCTGCTTGCATTCAAGTACCTGGGAAGCATTCTGCCTGCATGTGTACCATACAGGTGCAATGCCTCCAGCCACTACCAATAGTGCAGAATCCCTCCTCCTCATTCCTAATGTGACCAGCTGATAGGGCCACAATATAGGCCTTAAAACAAAATAAAGATGAAACAGGATCTCACTAGTGCTAAGAGTTCCAAAACGTTTTGCAAAACATCTAATGTTTTTTGAAAGGATATAAATATTTGTGAAGTACAAAACTCCCCAGGTTTTGCTAGCTCCAGAGTTCAGTGCTCATGTGACGAAATGTGCCTAATACAAAAGGATCAGCTATGCAGGACTAAAACAATGACATCTGAGAGGCAAGTGCAATACAATTGCAAGTTTTCTAGATGCAAACCAGGCCACCAAATAATATCATACTGGTTAAAAATGTGACTAAAACAAAAGAGAAATCACCATTAGACTCATATAATTAAACGTAACAAAAAGGGTGATTGGACTTATTTAAAATCAAGGAGTACAGATGCTGGATATTTACCTCTTTAACGAATAAATTTTCTACATTTTGTTCTGCATCTTCAGGTACAGATGGGTATAGAGTTCTCATTTCCCATGCAATTGTGTCTGTCTGACAAGAAATAAAAACAAAAGATTTAGTCAGATCAACAAACAATTAAAAAACACTATAAAGAATTAAAGGCATGTCCATAAAAGGGTTAAGAGACAGCATTTTTGCTGATGCCTACTTTCTGCTGGCTTCCACACCCCTCTTAGACAGTACTGCAAATAGCGTGTATCAGCTGAAGCAGTCATTGAACGAAAGGCATTGGCGTAGGTTTCTGGGGAATATGGGGTTTGCTCTAGGTGGGCCTGCTTCAATCTTTTAAATCCTTGTTCATCAGTGACTTTAAAAGGAAAAATGTATTTTAGAATTTTTTAACCTTTTCTCCACAAAAAGTACACTACAAACCCAGCTGTGCTCCGTGCCCCTCTCTGCTCCAGGGCATGGAAGGAGGCAAAGAAGTAGGGAAATGGACATAAAGGGTTTGAAATTCTTAGAAAGGAGCAGGAGGGGCTTTCAGACAAAGAGTCCCAACAAGCCGCAAAAAACCCTCCATGTGACAACTGTAAGATTGGCAAGAGAAAGGGGTGTTGGATCAGAGAGGGAGGGATCCAGGAAGTAGCTACTTTATGTAGCATCCCCATTAGCAGCCCAGTGAGAATCTTCATGGACTTATCATGGGTGACGGGTACCATAGGCCGGTGGATGCTGTGCCTCCCCAAACAGCCTGGCATGGCCCCAGCCATGCTCTGCCCTAGGCCCCATCCTGCCTGCTTCCAGTTCCCTTCCTGCTCTTCCATGGTGGAGAGACTGGGATAGGCAGGCGGGGGCTGTTGCTTGCAAGACTTGGGGCTGTGGGCACTGAGGCACGTCGTGCTGCCTGCCCAGCGCTCCGGGGCTGGAGTTGGGTGCACTGGGACCGCGCTGCCCGGCACTGAGGTAGGGGCGCTCCGGTCACGCCACCCGCTTGGTGCATGGGGATGGGGGTGCTCTGGCTGCGCCGCCTGCCTGGTGCTCCGGGGCAGGGAGCACACGGGGGGGAGGGGGCTGGTGGCCTCGGGGGTGTGTGCTCTGTGCTCCGGTGGGGGAGTGGGGCCAAAGGGGAGGGGCGGGGCCTCAGGCAGAGAGCCTCTCCCAATGGCTCGTTCACCCGCCGCCCATGGGGTTTACTGATGCTATTTAACTTCCTTTTCACAGCTTTTACCATTCTCAGGCGAAATGGGCATTGCACAGCTGTGGTAGGGACCCGGAGTGAGTTGGGCTGTCAGGACCAATGTGGCAAGCAGAGTGAAGAATCGGCTCTCCAGACAGCTACCATGAGATCTGCAGGGATGGGCTAGATTTCCTTGTGTTAATTATTAGGTTCTACCTAGTTGCAAATGCTCACACTGCCCCTCTGCATGACTGGGAATCCCTCTTCATTGAGGGAAGGGTGAGGGAACAACTGTAAATTCACACTTGCAAGACCCTGGGGTACTTTTTCCACATCCTCAAGTTAATCCACAGATCTGTCCCATTGGTTTTCTGTAACTGGCATGGTGGACCAGATTCTGCTCTCCATTACCCGGGGGTGAATCTGGAGTGATTCCAGTGAAGTCAATGGAGCTACTCAGCTTGAAAAAGAGACGACAAAGGGGGGATACAATGAAGGTCTATAAAATCATGGCTGATGTGGAGAAAGGAAATAAGGAAGTGTTTTTTACTCCTTCTCATAACACAAGAACTAGGGGTCACCAAATGAAATTAATAGCCAGCAGGTTTAAAACAAACAAAAGGAAGTATTTCTTCACACAACGCAGTCAACCTGTGGAACTTTTTGGCAGAGGATGTTGTGAAGGCCAAAACTATAACAGGGTTCAAAAAAGCACTGGATAAGTTCATGGAGTATAGGTCCATCAATGGCTATTAGCCAAGATGGGCTGGGATGCAAAACCATGCTCTGAAGTGTCTGTAGCCTCTGTTTGCCAGAAGCTGGGAATGAGCGACAGGGGATGGATCACTTGATGATTATCTGTTCTGTTCATTCCCTCTGAAGCACCTGGCATTGGCCACTATCGGAAGACAGGATACTGGGCTAGATGGACCATTAGTCTGACTCAGTATGGCCTTTCTTATGTTCTCCATATTTACAGCAATATAACAAAGAGCAGAATCTGACTCAGTCGCTCAAATTCTACCCTCAGTTACAGGGCAGCACAGGGTGTTTGGGGGCAAAAGAGGGGACTGCGAGCAGTGGATTATGCAGAATCATTGCTCAGTATACCCTGAAGTGGCTCGCAGCCTCTGCTACTACTTCAAATTTTGGAGCATTTGTTTCATGGCCTGATTCCAAGTTAAAGGTGAGAATTCCTCCCCACAACCTCTGAAGAAAGTCCATTTACCAGACTTTACATGACAATTTGACTCAGAACAAAGCCCTCTGTGCATAATCTAAAAAGAAGAGTTTCTTACTTGCATCTAACTTGTAGTACGCAGCTTCCCCTTCTCTGCTTTGCACATGAGCAATTCTGAAACAGCTGTATGCATTATATGGGCAGGTGCAAACATGATGGGATTCCCCAAACTTTTTTTCAGTTTCATTTGGATGGTTCAGGATGGGACGTAGCAAAACAATTTCTTTCCATTTCTACTCTCATCAGTATCCGTAGTTAGCTATTTAGCTCCTTGTGAACAGCTGTGAGGATGTATTTGTCCATTATTTTTATTCTATTGTGTCCGGTTGTGCTTATTACAAATTAATCTTCAGATTTCCCAACTAAGTATCTCTTAGGAGTGCTTCGCCATTATTACCAAAGAACTCGGTCTTATTATTCTAGGCCTATGTACAGTGGAGACTTGCATAAGCTTTCATGAGCGTTAAAGAAATTAAGTTGGGATAGACGGCGGTGCTCAGGATGTTACAATTTTAGGGTTCTATTATATGACAGTGAAGGTCCCCTCAGTGGTTTATGGCTTCACAACAGGGCAACTATGGAGAAGTCAGTAGTGGAGCTGGCTGAATAATGGATTTTTCAGTTCTCTGGAAATTTCAAATTTGTTTCAGGTCAAACTGAAAATGACATTTTTTCAAAACTATTCAATGAAAATTTAGAAAATTTGAAAAAAAAAGTTCCAGTCAAAATGAACTGTAACATTTTGATAATGTCAAAACAAAACATTTTGTTTGTACCCAAAACCCACTGTTTAGATTATCAGGAATTTTGACAAAAGCAAAGGAAAGGATTCACAAAACGGCCAGACGAGGAGGTGGTGGTGGTGCCGCCTCCTTTTGAGCTTTAGCCCAGTACACGTAGGAGACACAGGTTCAATTCCCCCTCTGCCTGATGTGGAAAAGGGATTTGAACATGGGTCTCCCACACTGCAAGAGTCTCCTAACCACAAGGCCATGGTATCTTCAGGTATGGGGCTTTTCAGTGTCTCCTCTTGAACCTGGTGCATTTTGCACCAATAATTAAGTAGTCATTGGAGTATGGATTTGAACTGGGGCCTCCCATATTCTAGATGAGTGTCCTAACTACCAAGCTGTAAAGACAAACTCATTCTCTTTTGCTGGTCCAACAACTATTTCTTGTCTTCATGAATGACTATGAATTGCCACTCCTTTCCTTTGCTTTTGTCAAAATACACCTGAAAATCTAAATAAAATTTTTCAGGTTGACACTAAACATTTCAATTTTACGAAAACATTTCGACCTTTTTGGTTCGGACAAAACTACTCAGCAAACTCAGCACAAATTTGCAAATGATTTCAGTTGACACCACACTCCATTTTTCAATGAACAAGCTATTCGTCCGAATTTTTTTGCCCAACTGTAGTCTATGATCATTTTCTTCACTACATTGGGCTATCCTGATTAAATGGTATTTTAGGCCACAAATCCCCCAGGCAAACTTGTGTGGGTGAATCCCTGTGCTCCTATGGAGGCCCACTGCCTTCATTGGGGGTCCACTCATACAGAGCTCTTTGCAGGATCAGGGATCTAGTTAGTCCTGACAGCAACAACCAAGTTGCCCATCAACAACACAGCTTGTAAACTGAAGTCCATCATTATTAAGGACCATATACTATCCATGGCTATAAATTATGCAGATTGAGTGGGGCTGGTGGGTATAATAGAAAGTCTAACAGTATATACTACAGCTAAGAATTTTATCATTGTCATGATGGTGGCTGAGCTACAGACCCAAACAAAAGCTCTTCTGCTTGACAGCAGTGAAGAAGACTCCAGGTTGAATCCACTCACCATAGCTACTGTAGGGAACGCAGAATTTTTAATTGTTTTACCAAGAATGCTCCTTAATAAAACATAGGATTTACATAGCTTCTCATCAACTGATGTCAAGGTGCTGAGCAAAAAGTGGCAAATCTTTATTTCCCCCCATTTTACAAGTAGGGAAATGGCGGCTCAGAGATGCACCATAATTTGCAAAGGTCACACACAGCAATACAATGGCAGAACAAGCAACTGAATGCAGGTCAGCTGACTCCCATACTGGTACTCTATCCACTGCATGCATAACACTGCCTCTCAAGAAGTTTGGACTGTACATAAAGGACTGGAATAAAGCAAATCAAAAAACTGCATGCCTTCAATTACAAGTGGATCGGTGTTGCCAGTTATTCATCTAAGTGGACTTGGCCAAATCTCCTGTTAAAAATTCTCTAAAGTAAAGGAATGCAACAGGTAAATTTAGACAGAACCGGATATGAAGATCTTGTACAATATTATAGTTAACTCTGTTTTTAAAAGCTGCACAGAACTTCCCTTCTCAGAATTAGCTGTGTTTAGACCACTAGCTTCAAACTGTCTTGCCACAAGAGCACTTCCTGTTCAGAGCTTAAACTCTTTTGTTGACTGTTGCTATAGTTCAATGGTTTTAAGACTGATCTGTTACTGCATTTGATCGCAGCAGAGACCCTTTATTTATGATAACAACTGAGTGTGAAGAATAGACACTCATACTCATGACTGCCAGATGCTGGGACTGGATGTTAGGGGATGGATCACTTGATGATTGCCCTGTTCTGATCATTCCCTTTGAAGCACATGGCACTGACCTTTAGCAGAAGACAGGATACTAGGCTAGATGGACCATTGGTCTGAGACAGTATGGCTGTTCTTATGTTCTGAAGGGTCACTAAAAATGAAGGCCCAGATTTACAGAATTCTGCATTTATAAATGTGTGCCTAATACCACGACTGTGCATACAATTATGGTTTTTAGATGTGCTCATTAGGAGCCTAATTGAAGTCAATGAGAATCTTCCTGTTGACTCCAAAAGGACATTGGATCAGACCCCTGCTGCACTACTGCATGTTCATTTTTTAATATGCAATTGCATGCAGAGTTCTGAAATTCTGGCCTAACCATAGAGTCAAAAGCACACAGTCATTTTTAAATTATCCTCGGAATACACATGCAAATATAATGCTCCGGCTTCTAACAATGATTTTGCGAAACATTCATGTACATGGCTGTCAGCCTCAGATGTTTGGTTAGTAAAAAAAAGCAATTAAATTAAGATTTGTGATCATCTCCCTTTCTAGATTCAGGTGGGACTGTATTTCAGCAGGAAAAGCCAAATTAAAATATTGCTGCTTATTAATAATTGACACAGGGTAACATTTTCAAAAATGAATTAGGAGCCTAAATCCCATTAACTTTCGATGACATTTAGGTTTCTAAGTCCCATTTTCAAAGATGATTTAGGTGCTTTTACTCTACATTTTTCTCATGTTTTTTTTTAAACTCTGAATGAAAGCAACTAGAAATATAGCTTTCAGGCCGATGCACCACAGACGGTCAGAATTGGTTCTAATTGGTCAGAAAACAAAGACCTTTCAAACTGCTAACCACACAAAACGTGTTCAGGTATATTAGGGCTCAGACTCAAACCCACTAAAGAAAAGCAGCTCAATCCTGTTCTCATTTAAGTAAACAGATTTACCATAAATGTTAAGGAAATCAAGATAGAACAAGCCCATGAAATTAAAAAGACAGGAGAAGATGGAACCTCAGTGATCCCACAGCTTGCAGCACATGATCTGTGGTATAAGAGAGAAAGAATGAGAGATGCAATCTAAAACATTTTAAGGGGAAGCTTCAGTATGTGTTTACATAGTGCTTCCCATACCAATCTAATTTATAGGGTGAAATTCTCTGCTGGTGTAATTCTATTGAAGTCAATGGAGTTACTCCAGCAGAGAATTTTGTTCACTGACATTCTGTAAGGAGGAGTTCTGATACTAATTCCAATACATTAGCTTCCTTCGCCCTTCTTTTCCCTCCATGCAAAAAATCACTAATTTCATTTTAAAACAAACAACAAGCTAACTCTAACTGAACACTAAATATCACTTCCATATGAGTGCACATCGCTGCACTGAACATGAACTGCACTATATGTACAGTCTAAGATTATAGTATATTCTATAAACATCTGCAAAGCTATCACATTATCCTACTTCAAAACCCTCCTTAAAATTCTCCTTTCCCATGATGCCTTCAAAAAGCTTGAGAACAGTTACGCTGCTGATGTGCTGATTCCATTGCCTATCATGCTGCCCGATACGGTCTCATTTTACCAGGGGAATGGAGCAGGACGGACCATTTTGGAGATGTTATAACAGTGGTAGGCAACCTGCGGCCCATCAGGGTAATCCGCTGGTGGGCCGCGAGACCATTTGTTTACATTGACCGTCCGCAGGCACGGCCGCCCACAGCTCCCAGTGGTCGCAGTTCGCCATTCCCAGCCAATGGGAGCTGTGGGAAGCATCGCGGGCCGGAGGGATGTGCTGGCCACCACTTCCTGCAGCTCCCATTAGCTGGGAACGGCGAACTGCGGCCACTGGGAGTTGCGGGCGGACGTGCCTGCGGATGGTCAGTGAAAACAAATGGTCTCGCGGCCCACTAGTGGATTACCCTGATGGGCCACAGGTTGCCCACCACTGAGTTATAATATCACTAGCATTACCAGTGTGGCATTGGCACAGTGTACATTTCTGTAGTAGACATTTCCACTGCAAGTATTTCACAGAATGTGTAGTTACCAACTTTCATCCATTCATGCTATCCCAGGTCAGGTGATGAGCACAGCACAAAGTGGAAAGAATGACATGCTTTGTTTGAAGGGGAGATATAGGATATAGGAAATATAGTGGTGGGCAGAAGGTGATTCATTATAAGAGAGATCTGGGACCCATATGAATTAGTCATTTCTAATGACTCTGTAGCAGCACAAGGGCAAAAATGTGGCTCCCTTTGCTCCACTGGAGACATTATGGTCTTTTTTGTGAATGCATTTTAGTAACAGGATATGTTCCATGTTATTGTCTATCAATGAAGAGGAAGGATGGCCCAAAGTAAATTACGGTTTATTATGTATTACGGACCCTGTGTTCAATTCCTTGCTCTTCTACAGACTCATATGTGATCTTAGTCACTCTGTGCCTCAGTGTTTCATCTGTAAAATGGGGACAACAGTACTTACCTATCTCACAGGGGTATCAGTGAGAATAAATGCACTAAAGATTGTAGAAATACATCCTAAGTTCAGTGGTTCTCAACCAGGGGTCCAGGCCCCCCTGGGAGGCCACGAGCAGGTTTCAGGGGGGCCGCCAATCAGGGCCAGCATTAGACTTACTGGGGCCCAGAATAGAAGGCCGAAGTCCCACCACATGGGGCTGAAGCTCAGGGCCTGAGCCCCGCCATCCGGGGCTGAAGCCAAAGCCTGAGCAATGTAGCTTCGCGGGAGCCCCAGTGACATGAGGGCCCAGGCAACTGCTCTGCTTGCTACCCCCTAACACGGGCCATGGAATTTATATGCAGAAAATCAGTTATTGTGGCACAGGTGGGCCATCGAGTTTTTATAGCAAGTTCGGGGCGGTGGCTCAGAAAGAAAAAGGTTGAGAACCCCTGCCCTAAGTTGAAACAAAGGGCCAGATCCTCAGGGAGCTCTCCTGATTGACTGTACTGTTTTGAAGCATGCAATGAATTTACTTATTATGGATCCATAAATATTATTTTAATACCTTAACAGCTCAGTTAATTATTATGGCTTTGCTTTATTTTGAAAATACACAAACACCCTAATCCACATTAGGTGACTACAAACTAAGCACAAATCAGGGCTGGGCTGAGGATATTTGAGGCCTTGGGGCCACAGAGACTGAAGTACCTCTAATCATCATATTTTAATAATAAGGTCCATAGCTTCCTGGGGCACTATCAGACTGAATAACATTCAGAGCCAGGCTGGTTAAGGAATACAGGTTGGTTAGGTGAGCCAAAATTGGGTGTGTCTGCACACAAATAGTTCCTGCTGCCTGGCAGAGCCAAGCTGAAAATGGCCTATCCTGGAATTCTGTGTGCAGGAGACATTTTGGTGCAGGGAAGTATAGGAATAAAAACAGACACCCTTTAGTTGAGTGGCTGGAGTTTATTCAGTCTACTAAGGAGGTCAAACTGCCCTTGCCCTGGAGATGTAGGCACCGCTACTGCAATTGATTTAGACCGAAATGAAAGGAAACAAGATACCAAGGGAAGGACCCAGATTTGCTGTAGTGACTCAAACCACTGCTCACTCCTGTGCCTGAATGCAACCCAATTGCTTTAGTGCCAAACAAGAGGCATTGGCAGGATGGTCAAGACAGACATGGGGTTTTCAGTTTCTAATATCTGCAAAATAACATATATGATATAGAAATAGCTACAAAAGCTGGACTCCAAAATATAAAAAAGGATGAGAACATAATGTAACAGCCAGTTAATATGGTTGAATGCCAGGGACCTAATTCTCCTTTTACTTAGAGGGCTGAACTCTTATCTTCAACTGAGTTGCTCCTGATTTTATGCTGCTTTAAGTGAGAAGAGAATGGAGTTCGAGAACAGACTAGTCTTGACCAGCTTAAAAAAAAAATGAACTTTTGCACAATAGACGCTCAGAATGGTGTAAAAAGGATACAGGAATTAATCATAAAATGGGATATGCATTCCGCATTGTTTAACTCTGTTCCTTTATCCCATTATAAACACAAGCACATTAACACAGTGCACAGGAAGAAAAGAAATATGTCCATTTAGAAATACAAACAAACAACAAATTAGATTATGTAGGATAGTGGCAGTGCTATGAGCTGGCAGCAACCTAGTACGGCAGTCCCCTCATGGTTTAAATATATGTCACATAGGTGACATTTGATCTCTAGCTGAAGGCTAACAGCAGCGTTCCTTGGCTGTTTGATTTCAATAACCAAACGTTAATTGGGACAGAGTAAGTGAGATTCCAAAGTAAACGATGATTTGCTATTTGTATAATGGTAGCACTAGAGACTCGCTGCCAATTACGCTGGTCACTGTCTAAGACACAGTAAATCTCCTGAACTCCTGAGATATCTATGACGATCACTAAGGATTTGCACTGTGTCTGCTCTTGGAGTGGGAGGTGTGCAGCAGGAAGAGAGAAGGGATTAAAAAGTTGCCCCAAAATAAAAGATATATGGACCAGTTAGGAGCCTCTTCTGTGACATTTGACCTTTCCGCCATGTCTACAGATTAAAAACTGTAAATAAAACACATTTCATTGTACTTACTGAAAAGTCATCGTTAGGAAACGTAATGAGATCTTTAAGAGGGTCGTCCCCAATATTTCTTTCAATCTCTGTGATGACAGTTTCATAATCCAAGGGCTCCAAAAGTTTGGGTTTCTCCTGCTGTGGAATAAGAAAGTACAATATTATGTCTCGACTCTCATACTCTCCCTGAATTCATAAACTGAACCGGGTCTCATTTTCCAATACTCTTTGGACATTGAAGTATTAATGAGTTTTGTTATGTTCAGAAAGAGCACAATGCTACTGAACTGAGAATATCCATGTCAGTACAGTACAAGTGAGCCAGGCAGGCCACTCAGAAAGTTCATTTTCATCCTGATCATTTCCCGATAACCAATATGCCCTGGAGTTAACAGCACTATGCAGACATCATCACAGCACCCTATGGCATCATGATAATGTACTCATTACACTCAGAAATTTTCTTTATTTTAATACAAACCATTAGAACTGCATATGGACAATATTATTTTGAGTGAATCAGCTGCAGAATGAATGACCTACTTTAATTTCAGTTGTTTCCATTAGCCGAGTGCTGATTCACTCCCTTGCTCTCTTGTGCTTTGCCACTTCTTAAATGCTGGTCGCTTGCTAGCAATAAAAGTACCACTGCACAGTTTTACTTGGCAATGATCTAGTTCCTCTGTCAGGATAAACTATTTGGCATTCAGCCCCATAGTTTCTCCTGTCAGGATCTGGATTATTCCCTCGTAAACAAACCATCATAATAGTGCTATTATTGCCCAAGTGAGGGGTTAGTATAGAAAAATTCTCAGTGGAAACAGCCAAGAGGTGAATTCATAGTGCCTCAATATACAGTACAAAAATAGAGATGGAAGACCCCACATACCGTGCAAACACACTTTCAAACATAAAAACCTCACAGGTCAGACAGAGTGAGAGAAACCATCTGTCTCATTCTAAGAGTCTTTTTGTAAGTATCAAAGAGACTAAGATGGGGAGGAGAAAAGAAAATGACAGAGAGGAAGAGAAAGTAGGGAGGAGTGAGACAGAAGGAGACAGCCACACAGAAGCATGTACTTTGCGCAGAAAAAGTTCATGCAACATAGTGGTTGCCATTAAAAAGTCACCATTTACACACAGTTATCACACTATGCTATCCAAGGTACTGCAGTATTTCCTTGTCTTCAGACCAGGATGTAACCATGGAGTCTCATAAAGGGACCTATCAAACAGGTTTCTCCAACACAGCATTTATCACTTTGGACTATGGGTCTCCCTCTGTTCTTTGAACCTGCTTCATACATTTAACAGTTACAGTTATCCCAGCAATTCCTCCTCAGCGCCTAGCTGTACCTCCCCCTCCCTCATTTGTTAAATTGGATTCTTCTCTAGCTTTCAGAAATACCCCTGGAAAACTCAACTAAATAACAATAGCATACTGTACAAAAGAGTGTTATGCACTGGGATCTACCCTAGCAGAGAACCAAATTGTTGAATGGTTGATAGTGGAAACCCAATTTACAGGTAGGGAAATTCTCACTTTTTATTCCTGATCAAGTAGTTGTCTATGTAGTGCCCACTGACTTGGGAGGGAAAGACCTTTCCAAAGCAATAGCGCTCAGCACCCACCATTCAAGCGCAGCACCTGCTGAGGGTAAGAAGTCAAAGCTGTAGTGCCTTATAAAGATATGTAAAGAACATCACCTGGCAATTCTAAACAACACTTCTGCAAAAGCCCTTTCTCTCTCAGCATTTGATGTGATCAAAGAAGAGGGGTCCATGAATGTTGCTGGGAGTGGGATCATAAGGCATTATATGAGAAAACAATACAGGACTTTATATACATTGGCATGGAGGATACAGAAACTTTTGACCTTTCTTTGAGGCTGCAAGGCCATTTATGAGAAATCTGAATGCATGAAGCCTACATCAATAGAACTAAAAGGCTCCTACGCCACATCCAAATTGTGCTAAACTCTCTCCTCAATGGATTAGGACATGGGCAAAATCTTGGTAGGGAAATTTCCTGAGTGAGATGACAGGAAGACTGACGTGCGAATAAACCCTAGTACTGTTCTGAGAACTGCTTCATAGGAGAGGGAATCTCCAACTCCCCTGGCCAAAGGCCATTTTAAAAGAGGGGGCATCTAGGTGAAAATTGGTTACACTGGTCTACAATTTTTGAGAAGTCGTCTGCTTCAGAGATAAAATGTGCTATTTATCATGTATTTTGATGTGCTGAATTCAAATAGGACAATTAAAACAACTGA